CAAATGTTGATCTGCTTTAGGAAAGGGAATCGCCTCATGGGAATTCACTATCTTGGAAATGAGAGAATCGTAATCACTGAATTTGAGAGCTGGAAAATACCTCCATAGCCTTGTATCCCCAGCCCATACATACAGTGATGGGATTTCTTCTACAGCATACCTAGTGAATGGAGACTTTCAGCGCAGGAGAACCCACCGTAAGACGGGCCAAAAAACATTTCTTGCTGCCCAGAATTTCTTTTTAGTTATTTTGACATCAAGGGCAATTGTTTTTAGGAAATTGAATTAGAATTGGTAGGCAAAGAATCAGTACGGAGACAGTGGTAAGGAATGAAAAAAGTCTCAAGATGATAACTTTATTGAGAGTAATTATAAATAGTTAAGGAAGACCTGAGTTTAAATCTGGTCTCAGATGCTTACTTGCTGTGTGACCCCGAGCAAGTCACTTAACCCTATTTGCCTCAGTTTTCTCATCTGTAAAATGAGCTGAGGAAGGAAATGACAAACCACTCCAGTATCTTTACGAAGAAAACCCTGAATGGGGTCACGGAGAGTCGACACGACTAAGATGACTGAACAACCACAACAAAATAGACATCCTTCTGAGAGAAGCCTTGTTACTGTGTCTTCTGAATGTGGCTTGGGAGCTGCTCCAAGAAAACCCCGAATGGGATCACCAAGAGGCAGATGTGACTGAAACAACGGAGCAAAAATTGTATCAACATGTAATGTTGTTTCTAATACGTTTTATTTAACTATAGGGGATAGTTCTCACACCTGTGATTTTACCACAACAAGGAACTCCATGGTGAGTCCCTCTACCCATGTAGGTCCACATCTTCTCTGAACCCTTAGAGCCTAATGGCTTGACCAGGTAAATGGAATTTCTTGCTCTTAGACTTCCCCGTAACCATGAAATCTCAGAGTGTATGAGAATTGGGGAGAGAATACTGGAGTTATTTACTCATCACCCATCTTAGTTTCACCATCTGTAAGCTTGCAGCATTGGGCTAAATGATCTTGAAGTATCTCCTAAGCTCTGACCAGCAATGACCCAGGTCAACAGCTTGTGTGAGTAATATTTAAAATCAAGTTCAAGGGGCAGCTAGGTGGCACAGTGGATAGAGCACTGACCCTGAAGTCAGGAGTACCTGGGTTCAAATCCGGCCTCAGACCAAACACTTGACACTTACTAGCTGTGTGACCCTGGGCAAGTCACTTAACCCCAACTGCCTAAAAAAACCCCAAATAATTAAATAAATGAATAAATAAAAGGGATGAAATCAAGTTCATGTCTGGCCAGATTGTACTGCCTTGCATAGGAATCTCAGTGAATCCTTATCGCCTCTGGTTAAAATAGCCCTGATATCTATGCCTCTCCACAATCTAATATTCGTTGTGAGATGCCAGCCTTGTTCATGCTCCTTTGTGCATTCCACATTCTGGCCAAGAGCTTGCTATTCCCAGAATTCTGACTTTGTCTCCCACCTTTGGACACACTATGTCCCCTGGCTGAATGTACTCACTCCTCACTTCTATTTGTTAGCACACAGTCTTTTGCATATTTACGTATTTGTGGAATTGAAATAACTCTTCCTAGCAAAAGAGGTTTACAATCATCAACTGATCCTCAAGGCAATCTGTTAAAGAATGCTGCGTGGTTCACTGAGTTGGATTTTATGCCTTACTTATTGAGGGAAGATTAGGTATAATTGGCCTTCTTTCAGGTAGGTCCATTTAGGGGAAACTGAGCAGTAATCACAGAACCATGAAACCCACAGGTAGGAAGGAAGGAAGGAAGCAAGGAAGGAAGGAAAGAAGGAAGGAAGAAGGAAGAAACGAAGGAAGGAAGAGGAGGGAGGGAGGGAAGGAAATAGAGAAGGGAGAAAAGGAGAAAAAGAAAAGAAGGAAGGAAGGAAGGGAAAGAGCAAGGCTACCAGGAAAAGGGAAGTTAGAGTTCTGCTTTACTCTGAGCTGCTCCTAATATATCTTGAATACTGTGGTGAGTTTTGTATCACATTTTAAGGATATTGATTAGCTAGAGAGTAAGCAGAAAGAGTCTTGAGATCATGCTGTCTATTGAGTCAGCTAGGAGGCACCACAGTTCACAGAGCACTGGGCCTGGAGTCAGAGAACTCCAAATTCAAATCCAGCCTCAAATACATTGTAGCTGTGTGACCTTGGACAAGTCATTTCACTTTGGTCTGTCTCAGTTTCCTCAACTGTAAAATGGTGATCATAACAAATCGCATCTACCTCCTAGGTTTGTTGTGAGGATGAAATGAGCCAACATCAGTAAGGCGCTCACCACAGTGCCTGGTACATAATGAGCACTTAATAAACATCCCTTTCCTTTCTTCCTTATAAACTGCATTGATCTTTTCAGGCCTCATCCTTATTAGCCATGGTTTTTTTTTTTCAGCCACCTTCTCTCCTTTCTTTCTTCTGAATAGGACTTGTATTTTCCCATCTCCACAGCCCTTGCCACTTGGAAAGCCTTCTTCCTCCTCTACAAATCCTCCTCTTTCCCCTATAGATCCCACAAAGCCTTCTCTCCCCATCTCAGTCATAGGCAATAGGTTCCTTCCTCTGAATTTCTCTGAATTCCTGGTGCGCATCAGGACCCTGCTATGCCCTTACTGGGACGGTGGAACCACAATCAGGATTTGTCTTGTACTTTCCTATTTTAACTAACTAAATCAAGCTAAAGCTTGATGGTTTCTACCTGCTGCAGGAGAACAGGTACTGTCAGTCATAAGCTAAATTTCTCTTCCCTGAGACCTCCTTGTTAAGCCTCAGCCAATTTCAAGCTAATCTTGGACCGGCTGCCCTGTGAATCTTCCCTGGGAAAACCTCTCCTTGCTTACTCTGTTACTTAATATTTTAAATTGTTCTTTAACGTATCGTGTGTCCATTTTTGTCTTCTTTCTCTAAATAGACTGTAAGCTTTCTGAGAGCTTCAATCACATGTTTGACTTCTTCTCCCTTCCCTCTGCACCCTACCACCACCATGAGGAAAATCGAGAACCACGTTTTATATGGAGCTGGTGCTTTCAAAACATTTAGCTGTTCTGATTTATTTCTGTGTTCTGACAACTCGAACATTTATTCTGTACGTTGAATAATTGTAAAATGTTTCTGTAGGTGATTTGGAAGTATGTTCTTACAGAGGTTGCCAGAATTTTCTATTGCTACATTTTCCTTTAAATGTTATTTTATGTTAATATCACAAACATTAGCAATTCAAATCACTTAAGGCCTTTTGATAAATCTTTTTTTAAAGTGGTAGACATTCTCTGTTTCTAAAATAAACGGCACTTGAGAATTTCAGCCTCTTGGGGATAAATGTTTTTAATATAAATACATGCATAAACATAGACTAGTTTTCTCAGATTTATATATCCTGACACTTTAAAAGGATGCTTTTTGTAACTTAACTGGACTTTCTTGTTGACTCCCTTGTTCCTAAGGCTAAATCTTTGTGTTGATTTTCAGCTTTAAAACTCTCTGGCTCCAAATTCCATGCCTTTTCCTTTACAGGTTTTTTGAAATTAGGTACCCTGGGATCCTGTAATGAGGACAGATACATCAAACTTCGGGCTTATAGTAGTCAGATGAGTTCTTTCATCTCAGGGACCTGGGGAGAATATCATAGATGTCTTCGAATATCTGTAGTGTTGTTGTTTTGAAGGAGGATAATTATTCTCTTTGGCCCCAGAGGGCATGGCCCAGTATATGGTGGGTAGAAGCTTCAGTGAGGCCAATGCCAGTAACTATTACAACTATATAAAAGCACCGTCCTTAAAAAGGGGCTGAATGACCACTGCTGGGTATGTTATATTAGGGAAACCTTGCAAGTACAGAGTCCATGGCCTCTGCATGCCTTCTGACCCTGAACTGCGATTCTGTGCCACATTTTGCTGACTGTTAGTGGTGAGCTACTGAGGGCAGTACTATAGGCTAGATTACCCACCAGCACGTGTTCTGTGGACTCTCTGGGGCTCAGTGCTGTGCTTTGGTATTGTGAGGCGTACAGGACAAGTGTTGGGCTGGGTCCCTGCCCGTGAGCAGCTTACTTTCTAGGTAATGTGGCAGAATGAGGGCACCAAGCAAGTCAACACATTGTGGATGCTAAATGCTGGTAAATGTGATAGGAACTCAACATTTCTTGGAGGGGAAAGATCGCCGTGGATTGGAACGGTCAGAGATGCTTCCCAGAGGAGTTAGGGCTCGGTCTGAGCCTGCATGCAGGAGCTCTGGGTCAGTTTCATGGGGAAGGGGTTTGTTTGTTAGCACTGCTCTGAATATTGTGTAGGCAGCTGGGCAGCCTAGTGGGTAGAGCATTAGACTTGGGGCCATCCTCAGGCATCCCTGAGTTCAAATCCCATCTCACAACCTTGAGAACTGTGTGAGCCTGCACCATTCAATTAATTTTTGTCAGCCTCTATTTCTTTTTTTTCCTTAATTTTTTTTTTAATTTTTAGGTAGTTGGGGTTAAGTGACTTGCCCAGGGTCCACACAGCTAGTGAGTGTGAAGTGTTTGGTCTGATGCTGGATTTGAACTCTGGTCACTCTATCCACTGCGCCACCTAGCTGCCCCCCAACCTCAATTTCCTTATCTGCAAAATGGGGATAGTAATAAAGCCTACCTCCCAAGCCATGTTTCAAACTTAAAGTATGATGTAAATTGTGTTATTTTATTATTACTAGATTATTTCTTTTGAATATTGAACATTACATACTATTTGCTGTCATCAGTCTCATTGAATTTTTTCATCTTCTGTCTTTGAAGTATTCATAACGTACTCTTTAGCTTTGACATGCTTACTGGTCTACTGAGATTGCTTTGTTTTATTCGCAAGAATGGACCCAGCATGGAAATATTGTCTTTATTTATCCAGGCTTACAGAAATACAAATCCTGAAAATCCAGTAATGTACAAATTACTTCTGAGATGCCAGTGTCTAATTTATCTTACTTTCCCTTTTTATTTTAAATAGAAAAAATCAGGCAAAGGTATGCAGATCTGCCTGGAGAGCTGCATATTATTGAGCTGGAGAAGGAAAAGAATGGGCTTGGCCTCAGCCTTGCCGGGAACAAAGACCGGTCTCGGATGAGCATCTTCGTCGTGGGGATTCACCCTGATGGACCTGCTGGCCGCGATGGGCGCATGCACATTGGTGACGAGCTTTTAGAGGTAACGGTCACTCACTCAGATTTCATGTTTGCTTTTGATGTTGTTGTGTCCAAGGCAATTTCAGTTGTAGCATCTGATCAGAGGATCATACATTTTGAGCAGGGAGTGACTTTGGTGATCAGTTTTCTGGAAGAGAAGGTAGAGTAAGGTCTTTTAAGGCTAAACAAACCGTCTTTTCTGTTTCCTCGAAAGGAATGGCAGTAGAGGTAAATACCAATGCAGATCTGCTACTTCTTTTTGTTTTTATTTTTTGTTTTTTCCTCACTTAATAGTATTTTATTTTTTCCAATTACATGTGAAGATAGTTTTCAGCATGCTTCTTGTTTTTAAATGATGCTGGCTGAGGACTGAGGGCTTTGCTCATGGAAAATTTTAGGAGCACTTCGGAAAAGCATCATTAAATAATGGAGGCAGAAGTTTACCTGTTCTGAATATCAATGAGCAAAAGGATTTGGGGCTAGGCTGAATTCTTTTTGGCTTTCATGGTTTTATTGTTGAGTCTTCCTGGATTCCAAACTTGACAATGAGGTGTGACTTTGTTACCATGGCTGCTACAAAGCATATTCAATACTTGGCTGACTTTAAAAGGTTTTCAGGAGACCAGAGATAAGGTTGGGAAAAACGGACTGATCTAGGAGGAAAGAAACCTAGGTACAAGGCAGCATCGGTCTGTGGAAAGCGCCTGGAGTGTGGAGTCCAAAGACTTGATTTCACATCCCAGCTCAGACTCTCCGATTTTCTAACATTTGGCAAGTTATTTCAGTTCTTCAGGTCTCAATTTCCTCATCTGTAAAATGAATTTGTTGGGGTAGATCATTAAATTCAACAAACAGTTACAAGTAGCACTGTGTTGGGCCTACAAAGGTTAACATGGAATAATGCCTGCCCATCAGGAGCTTAACTTTCTACTGGGGACCAGACATAGACACAGATAAGTGAATATGCATACGCAAGAAAGACCATGCAACAGATAATCCCTAGTAGCTAATACCCATCTCCTAGGGCTAATATGCATCTTAAACGACATATTTTGTCTAAAGCATTTTGCAAGCCTTGTTGTTATTGTTACAGCTATTTCACTCATGTCCAACTCCTCATGACCCCTTTTGGGGTTTTCTTGGCAAAGATAGTGGAGTAGTTTGCCATTTTCTTCCCATTTTAGAGATGAGGTAAATAGGGTTAAGTGACTTGCCCAAGGTCACACAGCTAGTAAGTATCTGAGGCCGTATTTGAATTTAGGAAGACTTCCTGATTTCCAGTCTGGCACTGTATGCACTGTACCACTTAGCTGCCCCTATGGTACTCTATAAATACTGTTGTTGGTATAATTAGTATTTACACTAGCCAGTGGGCTCTTCTACCAGTCAGAACAAGTTTTCTTGATTCTCCCAACCCAGCCTCCAGGACTGCTATAAGGGAGGAGGAATTTGTTGACATCCTGCTCCTAAATATGAGACATAAGGAACAGATATCCCATGGCTCAGAAGGTTACATCTTGTTTGTGAGAGTTCTGGTTCTATTTTATCCTTATCCAGTTTTCCATCATTCCTTGACCTGTCAGACTTGGGCTTAGAATAGAATTCCCTCTCCTCCATCACTTGACTTGTTATAGAGTTCATATTGAAGGCCAAGGTTTTCAAGGCCCAACTGTGAATTTGCCTTCACATCCTAGCTCCCCGGCTCCCCAGCTCCCCACCATCCCCACCTTCCTCTGCTCCCTAGCTACCCCCCACCCCACTCCCTGGCTCCCCAGTTCCTCACCCTCTCCCCCTGCTCCCTGGCTGCCCAGCTCCCCACCATCCCCACCTTCCTCTGCTCCTTAGCTCCCCCTCACCCCACTCCCTGGCTCCCCAGTTCCTCACCCTCCCCCCCCACTCCCTGGCTCCCCAGCTCCCCACCATCCCCACCTTCCTCTGCTCCCTAGCTCCCCCCACCCCACTCCCTGGCTCCCCAGTTCCTCACCCTCCCCCCCACTCCCTGGCTCCCCACCATCCCCACCTTCCTCTGCTCCCTAGCTACCCCCCACCCCACTCCCTGGCTCCCCAGTTCCTCACCCTCTCCCCCTGCTCACTGGCTGCCTGGCTCCCTGGCTTGCCGCAGAATTTATTCTCCAAAGCTGTCACTGCCCAGATGTCGTTTCCTGACCACCCAGAATTGTTTCTGCACAGCTTCCTTTTGTTTCTGTTTCCAGTGCAGCGTTATATAAAGGCTTCCAAAAATACTGAAGACTACTGCACGTAGGACAATGTTTGGTTCAGTTACTCTTCACAGAAACATCCTTTGAACCAGCCCACAAAGATAAACAACAACAACGTTGTGTTCGGTTTTGCCTCCTACAAGCACATAATGCCATAGATTTTGTGTGCCACATATTGTATCCTCACAGAGTCTGGCCCAGAGTTGGTGCTAAATCAGTACTTGCCATCTGATTCATTGTGGTATGTTGGTGGCCCCAAGTTCTCAAAAGTTCCGGGAGATGGCAAGCTCTGAACAATCCTACCAAGAGTAGAAGGCTGTGGTGACAGGCTCGGAGTTACAGTGGCCACCTTTGAAGGAGGAGCCAAGCTAATTTTGGAAAGATTTGCCACCAGTTCAGCCACAGTGTCATCATTACATCCTGACTGGTGACTTGAAGAGATCCCAGAGGCCAAACACTCCAACCCCCTCATTCTGAAGATGAGCAAACCAAAGACCAGGGAGGTTGAGTCACTTAGACGCAAAGGGTAATGGACTTAAATATGGAAGAGGCTTTATGAAGCCAGCTAATCCCCTTTTTACAGATAAAGAAACTGAGGCCCTGGATGGCTAAGTGATCTGAATATTCCATATTAGATATTTCAAGTCTGAGATTGCATTAGGGAATTCTCTGTGCGTGCCAGAATTGTGTGGATTTGTGTTCCTAATGACATCATTGCTCATTGCGATGAGAGGATCTTGAGGGCAGGGGCTGTTTATTTTTGTTGTTGCACCAGCATCTAGCACTTTGCCAGGAAGATGGTCATCAAAGAGCGGAGCTTATTGGCTGGAATGGTAGCCAATAAGTAGAGTTTATGGGCATGAATGGAATTGAATGGGAAGGATGGGAATGACTAGCCCAAGCCATATGTGAAAACTCCTTTCATTTTGAAGCTGTCATCCTCTGCTTTGGAGGTGGTGATGCTTTGGAATATTCTGCTATACCTTCCTCAGGCACCAGAAAGGGATACCAAAATCTTTGCAGATCTTTTTAGCAAAAGGCAGGCGCTTCCAGAGCTTCTCCTGCTTGCCTGGTCCTCTCTTCCCAGCAGGTTCTAAACCTTGCAATTCAGAACCCCCGGGCTACATATGCCCGGGAAGGGCAGGGACACAAGAGATATCCAGCTCAAATTTGGGCAGAGGTTTTGAGCGCCAGGAGCAGCAGCAACTCATTGCTACATGCCATCCTGTTCTTTCTCCTGTATCTCTAGTGATTTTATGGCATTTTTTTTTCCTCTGGGCTGCTTAGGGGAAGGACTAGGGTGAGACTAGGGTGATTAAACTGTTAATATTTGCTTCCTCCACCTTGGAAGCTGAATGAGGTCCTTCATATGCCACCCCTTCATTTTACAGTGGTAAAAGCAGAGGGTTGGCCAGTTAGCTGATCTGTCCAAGGTCCCCAAGTAGGGTGTGTGGAGGCAGACTTTGGACTCAGGCCGTCAAACCTCCCAAGCTGTAGTTCTTCCCATTGTAACAGGAACATGGGAATCTTTAGGACTGGAGTGTTTAGAAGTCATGGGATTGTGACTCTCAAGTGGGAAGGGACCCTCCTCGCCCAGCCTCTGCTGCTTTCTGGGCATCTCCTCTTCCTCCTATTACTCATTCCTGATTTTTGGCATTCTCGCTGTTTATTAGCATCCCTCTCAGAAGTTGAAATTAGAAGGAGAGACAAGACTGGATGCTGAAGTCAGTGAATTTTGCCATCTTCTTGTCTTAGTCATTAAGAGGATAGGTGGGGGAAGGGACTGAGTCTCTTGGCTCCAGGGCAGCTTCTGTGGCCGCCATCCATTTAATTTCTCCCTCATATCCCTCCTTCCTAATTAATATAATCAATCAGGGCTTTATAAACTCTAAAATAGGCATGACCTCTCTAGTGAGAGAACTTCTCATTTAATTCTTGAAATTTTTTCTTCTCCATTAACTTTCTTAAGAAAAAAAGAGAGAGAAATTGGTATTGATATATTTAGTTTTTACATTGCCTGAATTTCCCTCTGTACCACGCCTCCTCCCCCTTCCCTGAGAGGCATCCCAAGGAACAGAGATTTTTTTTTTAACAGAAAAGAGGAATAGGTTAAGAAAATCAACAAAAAATCAAAAAATGTGTAGTTTCACATCTGTGGCCCTCTTACCTCTGCATAGGAGTAGTGGTCAGTTTCTTCTTTGCTTTTGGGCCAGACTTTTCCTTTTTGCTTTCAGAACATTCAGTTTTTCTTGCTTTGTGGTGCTCCTGTCCTTTTACATTGTGATATTCAATGTGTATATTGTGTCCTTGATTCCAAGTCCTTTACTTGTCTTCATTTCATATAAGTCTTGTCATTAATGTCCTTTATAACATGCTCCAACATGGGAGCAGGGCACATTTTGGTGCCTCAGTGGATAATGCATGGACCCTGAATCCAGGAAGACCTCGAGTTCAAGCCTGACCTCAGAAATTTACTAGCTGCATGACTCTTGACAAGTCATATTTCTTCACTGTACCTCAGCTTCCCTCGTGTGTAAAATGGGAATAATAGTACCTACCTCCAAGGGTTGTTGTAGGGACCAAATGAACTAATATTCATAAAGCCCTTAGCACAATGCCTAGCATACAGTAGGTGCTATGTAAATGCCATTGATGATGGTGATGATGATGATGATGATGATGATGATATGATGATATATGGTATCAATTCTAGTGTCACTGTGGCCTTGTTATTGACCAGACAACAGTAAATTGGCTGCAAGACAACTGGGTGAGCTGATAGCAGCACCGTGGGCTACCGAAG